CTGAAAAATGCTGCTTCCCCACTTCCACATTCAATTCAATTTACTTTATTTATATAGCGCCAATTCAGAACACACGTCATCTCAAGGCACTTTACAGTTCACCAGATCATACAGTCAAATTGATTCAAAGTTTTCTATCAGGAAAACCAGCTGATTGCATCCACTCACTGACTCGGATGCAATCCCTCACAATAAGCATGCTTGTAGCGACAGTGGAGAGGAAACACTACCTTTTAACAGGAGGAAACCTCCAGCAGAACCAGGCTCAGTGGGAGCGGCCATCTCCCGAAGCCGACTGGGGTTCAAGGAGACAGAAGCAGAGATACAAAAAGCAGCAGTAAAAGGTGGCCCCGTCAAGGGTTTCCTTGACACAGCCAGGCAGACGAGCTCTGAGCCAGCTCCCATGTCAGAGAAGGAAGAGAGCACATCCAGCCAGTCACAGTCAGAGAAACAACATCTATAAACAAAGGTGTTGATGTTATTGTTGAATTATGACAATGATTCTTAGCAGAGATAGTCATGTTCTATTGTCTGTAGAAGGCTACTTTTATCCATAATTGGTTAATTTTTATAGCCTTTTCCACATTGACCTGTCAGCCACTATGTAAAAGCATATTAAGGTCTAGAATCTAGACCTTACTATGCTAAACCCTAATAAATGAATCTAATGTATACTGCAGTACATGTTAGATTAATTTATTAGTCTGACGTCACATCCAGTAACTCCTGTCATCTAGAAACTGTGGCAATATAGAAAGTAAAAGAAGAAGTAAAATAACTAGCATTGATTTATAGATAATTGTTAGGAATTGTTCACTAAACACTAAATTAATGTTTTTGTTTTTCCCATCCGAACTTATGGAACAGGCAATAAATAAAAAAATACAAAAAAATGCTGGTAGAGTGAAGGAAAAAACTCAAATGAAATCTTTGTAGGAGACAACTTAAATGTGCAGTGAGTAACTTTTTTTTTAAAGATGTATGTTTTACACATTTACCAAGACTGTTACTATGTAGACCTGGTGCTGCTGACCATCTGTAGAGGCACCAAATGCCTGTAAAATGATGCCACGTTTGTAAATAGAACTGCCAATATAACATTTAGAAACGTTTACCTTAAAACACAAAACCTGGAATGCCAGTAGGCAACAAATGCTGTATTAATAGATTGTAACTTTTGAAATATCAGAAGTGTGTTTAAAAGTCTTATCACTTTAGTGAATACAATTCTATTGTGGCGTATATTAGTACTGACTTATTGCACATCCCTTCTTCAGATTCAGTTTTGCTTTTCTTTCAAGTCTGACCAACTCTTTTTCAAATTTAACCAAGCCCTATTTATTTAGTTACCTACTGTATCCCATTAAACAAAGAAAACATGTGCTGCCAGATATTTTTTGGAGGTAGCAGTTGAGAATCCAGCAGAAATGAACTTAATAAAAAACACACATCCCTAATGTTTTACCAGATTTTTATCATCAAAATTTTTTAAAAGTGCATAAAAATACACGCTGTCAGCTGATGTTCTTTCCATTTATTTCTAAATAGGGAAATAACATTTTATTATGACATGTTAAAAAACAAGGGAAGGGCCTGTTTCATATCTGACTAATTGGTTGGTGTGTTAAGGTTTTTTTCTCCCCCACATTCCTTTTAGGGAGCTGTAAAGTTAAAATGCCAATCTTTGTGTGCAAGCTACAATGTACTGAGGAAGCTCATTGGCTCCCACCCCTTGTTTAATGACCATGTATTAATAACATTTGCAACATGCCTTTCAGATATTTGCATTAACGACTGCTGTAGTGATGGCGGACGAAGAACAAGGGGAGTCGCTGACCAGTGCGCAGAAGGAGCAGAAAAGGGAAACAAATTATAATCGTAAAAGAAAAGAGATGGGATGCTTTGAGAAGTTCCAGGATACGATCTCCAGGTGGATGCTCCCAGAAGATCTTCAGAGCCAATACCTTAGCCAAGCCAACTGCTGTCCGCCGCCGATATTCATCATTGCCGTCAGTATAGCAGAGGTAGGCTGTGTACAAATCTCCAACCTGGGAGATTCTTATGCAACTTCTGAATCTTAACATCTGTGTTGCTTCCCTACCAACCTTAGTTTCTCAACAAAAACAGTTTTCTTGTTAGATGATTATCAGGCATGAGTTTTTTGCATGAGTTCATAAACAGATTTCCTTTCTTTAAAGCTTTATATGCAGGAATTTAAGCCCTGTAGGTAAATAGTGTAAAACACTTATTTATTAAAGTAGCAGAGCAGTGCAGCTCTTTGGTTTTGTTTTATTCTAGAAACCAATGTATTAAATGTTGAAAGGTAGATTTAATTTTCAGGGCCTTGGATACCTGGGATCTCTCCCAGGTCTTCCTTAGGGGTGACTGGTTGCCGACAGAGCCCATGAGCTTGCTGCTGCAGCCCTGTGGGGCCTCAGCACCATAAGCTCTGTGGTTGGACCCAGGGGCTTTCGTCTGCCCACAGACATAGGGACGGGTGCAGCCATCCCTATAGCCCCATTTACGCAACCCTTTTGAAACCATACCGAGATCAGTCCAAGCACAGTTACCGAGATAACTGTTGAGTGTAAACGGCACGCACAACTGAACCGGACCGCGTCAGACACAACTGAACCGGTAAACTGGTACTAGTTCATTAGTAGGGCTCGGCATGATTGAGTTCAGGCTTGGCTACTAACGCCTGTATAACACAGGTACCTGGTTCCAGGTAGCCATTGATACACAATAATACTAAATACAAAGCTGTAGCTTCAGATACAGTGAGAAATAACATCCTGCTATTTTTCAAGTTCTCCCACTTAGAAATCATAGAGGGCCTGAAAAGATCATTGTAGGTGCATATCCTCTTTGAGAGACGTAATGTAGGGGGAAAAAAATCCAGAAATCATAATGTATGATTTAAAAAAAAAAAAACTATGTATTTGCATGATACAGCTGTAAATAAGTATTTGAACACCTAAGAAATTCAATGTTAATATTTGTTACAGTAGCCTTTGTTTGTAATTGCAGAGGTCAAATGTTTCCTGTAGATTTTCACCAGGTTTGCACACACTGCAGGAGGGATTTTGGCCCACTCCTCCACAGAAATCTCTAGATCAGACAGGTTTCTGGACTGTCACTGAGAAACACAGAATTTGAGCTCCCTCCAAAGATTCTCTGTGCGGTTTAGGTCTAGAGACTGGCTAGGCAATGCCAGAACCTTGATATGATTCTTCCAGAGCCACTCCTTGGTTATCCTGGCTGTGTGCTTTGGGTCATTGTCATGATGGAAGACCAAACCTTGACCCTTCTTCAATGCTCTACATGAGGGTAGGAAGTTATTCCCCAAAATCTTGCAACACAAGGCCTCGGTCATCTTCTCCTTAATACACTGCAGTCACCCTGTTTCATTGTGCAGAAAAGGAGGCGTACAATTTTGTCTCTAGTTTTATGTTTTAAGTTTTATGTTTTCTCTATGTAATTTTAAGTAAGAGTACTGCTACTTTAATATAGTATCACTCAAGCAAATTTAATTTATATGGTTTAAAACTACTCATCTTACACTTTTGTACTAAAGTAAAGGTAACTGAATAAATGCACAATGTTATTACCCATCAGAATTATTTCTGATTATGTGCATTATGTATATAGATATAAATCTTGGCTTAGTACACCATGTATATGCTACATTTTCTAGAGCATTTGGTCTTAAAGTCACATATGATCTTATTTGAAACATCTCAGGAAATCTTCTGGAAGGTGATTCACAGATAATTAATATCCAGCCTCTAATGCTGTGTTTGCAATATGTCAAACTGGCTGTCTCTCAGCTTCTTTGCAAGCATTTAGATGTCCTTGAACAAAGCATGGAGGTTTTTGGAATACCTTCAAAGGATGCCTGTCTCAGCTAAGCAAACATCACCATCTCCCTCTATTTCCCTCTTGCTGCTGTGGTTTATGCAGCTGTTTTGCATTCAGTTTTGAACCTATTACATATTTTGGAATATTTTACAAATAAATATTGGATGTCCACTCCTTCTTCTCTAGTTGGCAGTGTTTATCTACTATGCCGTGTGGAAGCCTCAAAAGCAGTGGGTGACCCTGGATGAAGGTATCTGGAAAAGTCCTCTCACCTACGATCCTGACAAAAGAGAGGAAGCATGGCGCTTCATTTCTTACATGTTCGTTCACGCTGGGTGAGGACAGACACAAGCTTCAATCATGAGAGAGAAAGTGGAAAATAACACTGAATGTTTTAGCTTTGGAATAAAGCTGAATATGATTTCTTTTTTTAACCGTCAAAGCTTCTGTTTAATCTCTCTAATACCTATTCAGATTCAACTAGCTAAATTAGAACTGGTGCTTGTGCACATCAGATAAAGTGGCCTCCCACATAGATGTATAGAAACATGAGTTTCACATCCAGAGAGCCCAAGCAACACAGAAAAACCAAACACCATGCACAAACAGGAAAATGCATTAGCGAAGAAAGAACAGGAGTAACATTTATTCCCAGAAAAACATTAGCAACATGTTTTATTTAAGGATATCCGTACTATTGATAAGCCGGGGATTTTTACTTAGCAGAAGACTGCTAATGACACCAAAAGCAAAAGAGTTTTTTTATATTTTATTTTGACATTACAGCAAAAGCTTTTTGTTCTAAATATACATTTAAAGTGCAAAAAAAAAACTACAAAAATAAAAGCTAAAAGCAAAATATATCACCAAATACAGAAGGGGAAATTCAACATAAACTTTTACGTAGTTATACAAGAGGGAGAAACAAATACAATGCAAAAGTTTAAACTGGCAGCTTCTGACGCCACCTTTATTAATAGCTGAGTATTAAATTATTTCAGTACGCTGTTATACAAACTGCAAACTGACCACTTAAAAAACGTCAAACGTCATTGATGTTCCATAAAAAGACAAAAGGAAATATTTATATAAGAGGTTCGCTATTTTTAAGAGTGCAAAAAATGGATCCAGTCATGTTCATCACAAGTCTATTTGTTTTTAACTGTTTGATTATTGCAGTGACTATAAATATGGGCCAGTTTAGTTTAGGTGCTAAGGTCCAACTTTTGAAGATCATCGAAGATCTACTGTAGTACTATGGGGTGTTGATTAGTCCTTTTCAAGACTGCATAACATAACATCGCCTATGTTTGATATCAGAATTGTATCCTGGGGATAAAGGAAGTAAAATGTGACTAAATAATTGTTCCCTGATTTTAGGATCAGCTTGAATAGAAAAGTTTAAATTCTAAGTTAAGTATAAGTTCCTCAGATGCATTTTATTTTCAGGAATTGTTAAGGAGGACATTAATCGTGATGCCATGTTCTCTTTTCAACTTAATGGTTTATTTATTAGCATTTTTTTTGGGATTAGAATACAGTAAAAAAATAATAAATAAGGGATTTTTTTTTTATTTTGTACACATTTTTACAGCATTGTCCAAAAATCTAGGACACTTTAATCCTTAAATTCAGAATATGACAAAATTCATTGTTCAATCAGGATGGAGAAACATCTGCTTGTAAGTTCAGCGTTAATTTAACCCCACATTTGTTTTTCCAGTGTGGAGCACATTGTGGGTAACCTACTGATGCAGCTTCTACTGGGTATCCCACTGGAATTGGTCCATAAAGGAATTGAAGTGGGTGTAGTTTACATGGCTGGTGTCCTTGCTGGTGAGCATAGCCTTTCTCTAACCTCTCTTCACAAACAATAGGCGGAGAAACCAAACTGAATTAAACCATTTAGTGTTTTTGATAAACACCTGACCTGAACTTGCCTCGAAGTCTGTTTTTCCTGTTTGTGTTGGAGCCATACTTCCTGCAGATAATTTATCTGTCTGTGTTTTACCTCAGGCTCTTTGGCTAGCTCCATCTTTGATCCTCTCAGTGCCTTGGTTGGGGCTTCCGGAGGCGTCTATGCCCTAATCGGAGGTTATTTCATGAACGCTGTAGTGGTAAGATGAGAAACCACCTGACATTAAAAAAATCAGTTTGCATTTTTGATGAGGAAATTGTTAAAGGCTGTGGGGAATATATTTGAATCTGCTTTTTGTAAAACGTCCATATAGTAATTCATTGGAGTGTCAACAAATGCAAGTTACAACTGTAAGATAAAAAGAAAATCAAAACAAAATGTAATGATCTGACTGATCTGTTATTTACTGAAGCAGACTTATGTCTGCGGACATATGATACAGGAACAGAATAGAAAACGTTTATTTTGGCCTTATTCTAGAGGTTAGCCTTTTTGTCCACAGAATAGATGTGAGAAAGTGCTGTCAAGATGCAGCTGGGGGCTCTATATTCAATAAAGTAAATAAAGGGATGATGGCTACATTTATCTCATATCATCTCCAATCAGTGTACATACATTGCCTTGCTGAAGTATTCATCCCCCTTGAACTTTTCAACCTTTTGCCACAAGTGGTTGTCCATAGGCCAACAACAAGTGTGGCACAATCATCAAGTGGAATGAAATTTATTGCACATTTAAAAATTTTTAACAAATAAAAAACTGAAAAATTGGGTGTGCAAAAATTATTCAGTCCCCTTCAGGCCACCTTTTGCTGCGATTAAAGCTGCAAGTTACTTGGGGTATCTCTCTATTTCACACATGAAGGGACTGAAATATTTGCCCATTCTTCCTGCAAAACAGCTGGAGCTCAGTGAGGTTGGATGGAGAGCGTTTGTGAACAGCAGCTTTTAGTTCTTTCCATAGATTCTCGATTAGATTCAGGTCTTGACTTTGACTTGGCTATTCAACACCTGGATATGTTAAGTTATGAACCGTTACATTGTAGATTTAGCTTAATATGTTGGGTCATTGCCTTGTTTGAAAAAAAGATAAATCCTTGTCCCCATCAGGCTCGGACTGGTAATCGGTGATCCTAGGCATTTGCCCGGTGGGCTGGTCCTAATTTCATTGGCGAGGGCCGGCCGTCCTTAAATCATACTGGCCCCAATGCTTACTCTCCGGCCAACGCCTACCTGTGACGTAAATAACTCGAGGAGCTCAAGAAGTAATACAAAGTTAGCTTGCAAAATGATGCATACAGTATATTTAGCCTTTCCTTGTCATGCAAATCCTTGTAACAGTTGGCAGATGGTGTCATTTTCTGTAAAATCCTATTTCTTCAAACTGTAAAATTCTTGCAACCAACTAAAGTATAATAAAACTAAAATGCTTTCTTTAAACCAAACTACGATGTTTCTCTTATATTTGGCAAATTTATTTTAGAATATTTTGCCAAAATATGTTGCGGTGCAGGATGCACCTAAAGACTAACGTTTCCGGTCTTACGCGCATTGTTGATAGGTTGGGTTGTTTCCCAATCTGGTAGTTTAGGATATTTGGCAGTTTAGGATGGCTCTTTTTCTTTAGGTTTATGGCTTAAGAGATGAATAGACTTTTGTTCAATTTGGGCGAGATTTTTTATATCCAGGCAGTTTATGAACATTTTATGGGCTGGAAAACATGAGTCAGTGACATCTGAAACCCTTCTTCACAACAAATTGAAATATTCTCTCTTTATATTTGAAGCCTGAAATGTGGCAAAAGGTCAAAAAGTTCAACGGGGCTAAATACTTCTGCAATGCACTATACAATCGAAAGAATGCAGACTGTTGTCATCCAGCAGTACGGGGATCCTAAATATACAGCCAGAGTCACAATAAAATGGCTTATTTTTGAAGTATATCAATGTGTTAGAATGACCTAGTCCAAGTCCAGATATAAATCCAATGTGGAATCAATGGCAGGTTTAAGAAAAGTGGCGTTATCAGACACTCTGCATTCAGTTTATCTGAGCTTAAGATGATTGGGCAATGCTGGTAGAGCTATACTCTGAGACTAACAGTAAAGCTGTGATTACAGAAAATGGTGGTTTTACTTAATATTCACTCATGGGGGCTGAAGACAAACGCAGGCCCCCCATTGGTGATTAATGTAAAAAAGTCCAAGTTATGTGACTTTTTTTTAAAGGTACTGTATATTTTACTAACAAAAAACCGGATCTGTTCTATTCCACAGAATTTCCGAAAGATGATTCCTCTTCTAGGAGTGTTTCGAATCCTAGTCATCGTTCTAATTGGTGGGTCCCTATGAGTGTTTTTCCTTAATCTCTGTAAGTGGAAATGATTTCTTGCAAAACTCTAACACAGATTTTTGTGTTTAGTTGGCACAGATTTTGGCTTCGCCTTTTACAGAAGATTCGTCAGTCATGAGGGAGGTTTACAGGTAGGAGGTCCACAGTGCAAAGAACAACAAACTGCATTCATCTGTGCTTCCTTAAGGTGCATTCATTTTGAACGAGGTGGAGGCGGTATTTTCCCAGAGGATTTCAACGCTATGCATTTCAGATGCACTATTTTTCACTTCCAGCCGCATCATCAAATCATAGGAGCTTGCTTTGATGTCAATTTTTCATCCCCAACCCTGGTGAAAAAACGGAGCAATTAGACTAATTGGTTAGTGCTTCATTAGTGCACGTTTTTGCAGTTAAAATGATAACTTTGCTACTTTTATCTCATAAATATAAAAAATAAATTTTTAGGTGATCCATTGGTCAAACGCACCTCCATTGAGCTGTGGGTTGAACCAAATTCGGCGACTTCCTTTCTGCTTCTTTAGTGCAGATTTGTACAGTTTAAACTGTTGTTTGCGCTGCTCTGAGCAGAGAGCACTAGTGCTGGGAAGAGGCAGCGGCTGGCTGGGGTCTGCAATGTAGGTAAGGGAGGGCGAAGAACAGTCCTGCTAGGGCTAAATCAAAATAGTTTTCTTGAAAGCCTCCTAAAAATGTCTTAATTGCTTATTTTATCCTTTGTTAGAATTATATTCTCTATATTCTATTCTGACTGTAAAAAAAACAAAAAAAAAAAACATTGTCTTGGCTGCACTTCTTTAACCTACATCACAACCAAAACTAGTCCCCAATTGTATGCCTTGACAGGATTTCACAGAAAAGTTCAGAGTTTTCCAATTCAACAGTCACTATCCCGATGCAAACCATGCAGGTGAAAGCGGGTAAGCAGCCAGCAGAAAATTTCACGTATTGCAAGCCGTCACCGTTCCACTCATGTGCTGCTTGAGAGAACAAAACAAATAGCAGCACCAGGTGGAGAGAGCAGAGTGGTGACCGCTCTCAACATGTGCAATTCACCGCTGGCTGCTTACCTGCTTTAACCTGCATGGTTTGCTTTGGGATATTCTGTTAATCTACCAACCTCCCTGCAGACTCTTTGTTCAATGTGAATGCACCTTTTAACACAAATTTAATCATGTATGATTCTGAATGTTTTCATGACAGTCTGTCTGTTTAAACAGCCTTTGATAGTTTGAACTTAGTTATTCCACATATGGCTGTCCATACAGTCCCATTCTTAGACTAATTAAGTGTCCTTCTTAGTCTGTTTAGCCAATCCAGCAAATGTTTGTTAAAGTTGATTGGATTCAGATAACAGCTGGTAAATCAGAAGGTAAAACCTGATTTCAACATGTCCTTTTCAGGTGTCGTTTGTGGCTCATTTTGGAGGTATTGTTGCTGGGATGACCATTGGGTACGTTTTCTTCAGCGATTACGGCAAGGAGCTGCTACGGGACCCACGTTTCTGGATTTGTATAGTGGGATATGCTGTCTTCTTCATCTTTGCTGTGCTGTTCAATATCTTCATTTCTCCTGCATCATAAGACGGGAAATGATTTCAAAGTTTTGCTCAGTAAGGTTTTTGAGCAAAGTCTTAGTAAATGTTAAACATAGTCTTTGTACTCATACCGGTATGTTTTCTAGTTTTAAAACATGTTTTAACTTGTTTTTCTCTGATGGTGGTTTCTGGATCCTACCCTCGGAGAGAAGAAAACCCATCTTGAACATATTTAACTTTTTAATCATTTATTTCGATATAAAACACTTTTAAAGGCGTGATTTTAATTTTCAAACAGTTGTTTCTTCGATAGCAAATAATGTTAATTTTATCAACATCGACTCTCACATCCAGTATTTCGACAACATCAGTAAATGTGATTTATTCCATACACAAGTCCATTTTTTTTAGACGTTTTTTAATCAAACACTAAGAACAGGTAATTAAGGATGAAGAAAGAAATTGTTTTACCTGTATTTACCTTGTATTTTTTTGTTTTGTTTACATGTTATTCTTTTATCATGAAGCCTAAGCTCTGCCTCGTTTCTTCTGTTGCATCCTGTTAAAGGAACAATTAAATGTTCAGTAAGACATAAAACAGATGTTTAACACCAGCTTTTGTAACCTCTGTCATTATGATTCTTATTTTTACCCAAAGGCAGCTGTATGAACACACCTCAAGGTTAATTTCTGCTCTTTATTGAAATGTTTCCTGTGAAGATAATGACTGAATATGGCTTAAGCACAGAGGGGAATGCTTGTGGTTTTTTGTTTTTTTTGATTTACCGTTTTAGAAGACGTACCTATGATCTAGCTCACACAAAGGTTGCAAATATAGACCAAATATGACTTCCTGTATAGTTTTATATATTTTCATAAGATATTTAAAGACATACTGTTTTGTGGAGTGTGTTCTGCCAAGATAACAGCACCTCTTAAAGAAATAAGGCAAGGCAAGGCAAATTTATTTGTATAGCACAATTCAGTACAAAGACAATGCAAAGTGCTTTACATGATTAAAATATAGGAAAATAAAACAGAATCAAAGCAAGTAGGAAAAAAAATAATAAATGCAGAAACAAAAAAGAATATTAAAAAGAGAAAATAAAAAAGTTGAACTGATGATTTTTCAGTTGAACTATTTAACTAGAACAGTCGAAGGCAATCCTAAAACAAGGGAAGTATTACATAGTTTTTCCTTTGATGTTGAGTTTTATCTGATTAATGTATAGACAGGAAGTAATGCAAGCAGTTGTTTTTTCACAGAATATTCATTAAGTTATCAGTTATTAAAAACTGGCAAAATTAGACTGAATAAAAGTTCGACTTACGAGACTAAAGAAAGTAGAGAAGGGTATAAAAATAGACCATTTTGATCATCATGTCATTCTGCAAATGGAACAGGAAGTGAGATGACAAGATACAAATTGCATTGTATTTTTCAGAATAGTTTATTAGGGGTCACAAAATGTAGGTTTGGAGTAATAGTTTGATGATTTAAATGAAACTGATAGAAACAGGTTTTTCATATACAGCTATTGAGCTCAGGAAACCTGACTTAAATAATTTTTGTTCTGTGACATGATCTATTCAAACTGGAAGTAGCCATTGTCCTCACACATCTACAAGACATTTTTATCTACACCGCTGCTACTCGGAATGTTTTAAAGGCCAGAAATGTCCTTTTCAGGCCTTTATTTCTGTTTTTAAATGTCAATCTATTTAATTCTAACATTCTGACTGCTGTCTTTATATTTTAAAAATTAGTAATTACTCCTTGTGAAATCCAAGAGATGATTTTGTGCAAGAAACCCAGCAGATAATATTTCTTCAGTGTGTAGACAATCCCATCCGATGCAAACTACCAAGCTCACATTAAACAAAAACTAAATCTCGTTTCTTCCAGATCAGGGTGAATTAAAACATTTCCAATCATTTTGAATAATCTCAAGGAACCACATTCTCAAAGTATGTCATCTTCAAGAAAAAGTGTGCATGTGCATACATGCAGTATGCTGTTCTTGGTTGTTTTTGATTTCGGTTTCTGTTTTTACATTGTTGGTTGGAGCAATGTAAAGTCCTTCAGCTTTTTTAAGGAGAGAAACGGAGTAAAGTATAGGGACTCAACCGTGAAAGGAGAAAACAGGGTGATTTTCTGTAATAATTGTGTTGATGCAGCTCCAGTGGCCTGTTTCCTGAATTCTCCTCAAGTTGAGATTTTGCGGATATCCTGGCCTAATTAGGCCTCAACTAGGTTCCGGGAAACAGTAACTGAGTAACACAACTTACTGTGGTGACGTATTTTGGGCAGCTAGCCTGCTCCCAACCAGGCTTACTGCCAGGTTTATTCCATCCTGGTGTCTTATCTGCTCAATCAGCAATGGCACCAACCAGAAACCATAGTTTTTTGTCAGTTATTCTGTAACTTTATCTGTATGATGTGATTTTTTTTTTATTATTAGCCTACAATAACAACCACTATATACAGTATATATAGTAACTTGTGATTTTCTGTGAGTGTGGAAAAGTTTCAGCAAACCAGCAGAACTTGCATTTGAATGCAGGTGTTTCTGTCTTCACTAGTTCGCCGTTACACCTGCTGCCAAATCCCAGCAAGTCTGCACTGATGCAGACTTGCTGTTTAAGGGCTGAATGGTCAGTCGCCCTACTGAGGACGTGGTTTGGAATGGCCCTTAATGTGGTGCACCCTCCGCAAAAATGTGCAAATGGAGGTGTAGTGTTTTTAGGGCCGATTTAGGATGCAGCCAAAGTCACCATTTGCATCAAAAGGATAATAAAAACATCTTCATAACCTTCCACAGCCACAGAAGACCGAGCTACATGAAGGAGAGATTCTACAATATAGCATCAATTAGGCCAATGATTCCAAAGTTAAGGTTGTAATTCTATTTGGGGTCCTTGATAAACCAGGATGGGGTATTGGAGAGCCACCATAAAATTATACTAAACAAATAAATATCTATGTTAAAGTTTTTAAAAATTTAAAAGTTTAATTGACTTTTTGGTCAAACGTGTGTACTGTCAACCAGTTATTTGGGTCATAAGTCAACTCTGATACCATAAAGGCTTAAAAGCTGGTGAACCTCTTAACTAGGCTAAGCATCAAAAAGAAACTTTGAAACAGGTGGGTTAGGTTATTTTTTTTATTATTTATTGTGATACAGGAATTCCCTAAGGTTATATGTATGCCGGACTGCAAACACGTGAATGTATAAAGCTGTTCTGGAGCACATGAAGTGGATTTTGTTAACAGAAAATCTCAGTGTTCAGCTAAGAGTAAGTTTTGGTTAGACATGTGATACTCATTGTATTTATTATGTGAATTACATGGTCTAAACACATTCTACTGCATATGAACCTTCTTCTCCCCGGATCCCTTCCAGAAGAGAGCTCTTTAGCATGTTTTTTTTTTTCTTTGTTAAAGTTAAGAACCATGTTTTCTGCTGGCATGAATTCTGGGAATAACAGAATGTTGAAACAAAAAAAAATGAATAGATCAAATATGCTGTTTAATAAAGTTTTAATGCTAGATGGAGAATTGAGCCTCCTGGATTGAAGGCAAAGACCTGAGCCACTACATAACAGAGAGACCCAAACTATGGTGTTTTCAGTTCCGAAGATTTTATTTGGAAATTTTTCTTTTAAGTATTCACTATAGTTTGCTAAATCAATCTGTGATCGCCTTCATTGTCTCTTAAAGGAAGCTGAAGAACTGCATTTAGATAACTTACTTAAAACTGGCATGATGTAGTCTCACTAATTAGCCTGACTTGGCCTCTGTGGAACGGATGAAGCCAGGATGCCCTGATGACATCAGGTCCCACTTTATCTCTTATCCTGGAAATTTACTTATGGGAAGTTGCCATCAGGATAGTATCACAGATAAATACAGGTACCCGGCCGGGTGTGAAATCCATCAGCTATTCTGCAACAAAGGGTTCAGTCAAATAATTCCTGATAATGTTTTTAACAAGACTACACCCAAAGGCTCTAGCTTGGCAAAAAAAAGCTCCTTCCATGTACATGTATTCTTCTCTCCGGCTTTGGCCCGCTACTACAGGTAGAGTGAGGGCAAAAAGATAAGGGCCATACCCGGCTGACGATGTTTGTTGAACAACTACTCATCTAAATCAACGCTAAGCCTAGTAGCTGAGTTTTAATTATTCCCCAAAACACAACTTGAAAGTTAATTCCTCAGTGGATATGATGGTATTGAAATTCGTCTTACATCTAACTTGCCATCAAAATTAACTTAAGTTGTTCATTTTTAATAAAAACCAAAAAAAGATCAGAAACAAAATCGTTGACATCTACAGTATTAGTCTGAAAAGATAAGGCGGGGGTTTGGGACCTCCATGGAAAAACATACTGTAGAGCCATTGTGACACACGTGTCTGGAAGTCCTTCATACATCAGGTAAGGTCAGTGGCATGATTTAACAAAAAGGAAGACTTGTCAAATATGCTTTCCAGGGAGGTTTCCAAGAACAAAAGTTCCCGTAGTAATTGCGATGATCCCAGAGGCTGTTGAGAATTATTATGTTGAATGTCAAAAGTTTCATTTTCCAGGAGGTGTGTGTCCTTTTACAGCAACAGGAAAACTAACAGCATATTGGAAAAACAACATGTACATAGGAACTAATGTAACGGTCTGGATCTGCTCTTCTTTCTCAGAACCTGGACAGCTTGCTTTAATTGGGACGAGTGAATTCTCTCAGCACAATAAAAAGCATAATATCTGGTTACCATTTTTGCAGTTAAGATAATTTCATTTGGATTATGGGGTTTGTGACTTATTAGTGCATCAAGAAATCTTCCTTTGAAAGCTTACATATATAAAATAAAGTCATAGTAATGGCCTAATCCATATGAAGTAAAAGGCTAACTCTGATTTGTGAAAATTTTAGGTTCTACCTCCTGATCCTTCCCTTTACATCGTGTCAATAGTAAGAACTCTATCTTGGGTAAAAAAGGCACACAGATAATGTGAATCAAAACCGGGACAGCAGCATTCCAAAGAAAGCTGGGGGGAAAAAAGAAAACTACACAAATTTAGCGAACAGCTGAAGCTCTCCATTCTTAAACCCAAAGCATATGAAGGTGAAGACAATTACATGAGTCATACACGGTATATGAGAAGAAATTGCCCGACAGACCTATGCTAAATGGAGCCTAGGCAGAAGTTCAACTGACTCATGTCAACTCATTGTTTTTTCATACATCCATCTGCGACACAGCCAATCAGCTTTTAACCACACCTCTACGAAAGCCAATCGGCATCCAAAGTTCATCTTAAAAGGCCTCAAATATGCATCTGTCTGCTCCTGTGTGTGGGCGACGGATGCGCTGTGTGACTTCATTCAGATGACACCGTTTCAACCCACCTCCAGCCCCTCCGCCACCTTGGTAGCTAAAGCTTCATCAGAGTGTCATTCCTCCTGGACTGCGTTCTCTGTCTCCTCTTAACCGGTCTGGCAGAAAGCCGCCATGTTGAGCCTGGTTCTGCCTGAGGTTTCTTCCCAACAGAGAGTTTTTCCTTTCCACTGTCGCTTCATGCTAGCTCATCATGGACAGGTTCTCTCAACCTTTGTTATCCAAACTGGACTTCCATCTTCCAGGTCCCTGAGTGAAGCTCTAGTATCAGCTCATGCAATCCACTGGATCTCCCTATAAAGCTCAGCAGTCTACATACTGACCAACTTCATCTATCTCCACTCCACCACCAGATTCAGGCCTGGGCGGGAAACAGTCCTATTCTTTGGTCCTGTTCATGCATATCTACCAAAATTAAGTGCTATGTTTCCTGCTGAGCTCTGAGAGCCAACGACAAAGTAATTGTATCAAAACATTTCTCCTAATTGTCTTTTCTCTTCGTGTGAGTTTTTCAGATTGAAATGAGTTATGATAGGAAGCATCCTGCTTCCTTTCCCTACCTCCTTCCAGCACTATTTGGACTGACGACTGCTGGCAAACTTCCACTTCAGTGTTCTTGTTGATTTGGCCTATTAGGATTAAGCCAAAGACTTGAGAAACCAAATGGGTTAGTGTGGAGTTTGCATTAACAGTGAGTTTAAGACTGAAAACCATCCAGTGTGGCCAAAATACACCAATTCATCAAAGAGCAGCATTTAATTGCAGCCATTGCTTCTAAGGATGGCCACAAGAAGTTAGTAGGTTTGGAAGGCAATTACAGTATCTCTGCACATTTGTCCAAGGCTTGGATGAGTTTTCAGTTAGTAACTGAAACCATTATTTAAAAACTTTGTGTCATATTGATGTATTTATGGCAAAATGTAAAAGCAAAAAGACGTTTATTTTAGATCTGTATGGGGACAAACAGCTTTGTAAAGAAATAAAGTATATGCACAGGCATATGGAGCGCTGAAGCCAAAAGCTGAAGGTCCATTGTAACAGATTTCTCCTTAATGGGAAAATATATTTTGCTCTGGAGGTTAATTATTCTCGGAAAGATTCACCCGAGCATGAAATCAGACATGATGACTCATTGATTACTTCTCCACAGTTGAAAGCTATTGACTGAACGTGTGCTGTGCAGATTACTGATCTGTATTGATCATGTGAGAACTTTATGTAGACACACTTTTTTTTCTTTTTGATGTAAAACAAACAGAGGAAAGAAATTCTCCAATAGTACAACTGTTTATAAAAATGTGACATAAAATCTTTGGTTAGATCGTTTTCTCACTTACTATCCTTTAAAAAGCCAAATACACTGGAAAAACTATCTAGAAATAAGTAAAAATCCCTTAAATAAGTGTATTTACCCTTAATTTGAATAGGTAAATGTGACGGTTTGCCAATGGAATTAGTATTTTTACTCTTAAAATAAGATAATTAGATAAAATGCACATGAAATCAGACAATGCAATTGTGTTTTCTTATTTTAAATGTAAATTGTCTTTTTCCACAGGCAAAATGTATGTTTTACCTCCTCAATCCAAGAACAAATGCACTTATTTTAAGAAAAAAAATTCTATTTTTTTTTTCAAGTTGTAGATTCGGAATAAATTTAAACATATTTTGAGATTATAAAAATGTGCATTATCATTCATATGTTAAATAAAGATAAGAGTATTTTATTTTCTTGTAAAATAACTGTTAGGTCACATTATGTTCCTTGTCTCACAATCTTTATACTTTACTCAATAATACAATGTTTTTATTATAGGTTGTATTGTAAACATATAGCTGCAGTTTTATTTAATTTAAACTTGGTTTTTAGAGATTTAAAAAGCTAAAATGTAAAATATTCTCCTAATTAAAAAAACAAAACAAAAAAAACAAATCCTATTCAGTTATTTTATGTACCAGTTAGAAAAAGGCTTTCATTAAATAGAGGCCTTATTACAATTAAACACGTACCCTAATATAAAACCATATATTTATAGTAATTTTTGCATTTACTTTCTGGGGTTATTTTTATAAAATACTGTTAGTAGGAACAACCTAAAATACACATCAGTGATTTTGCATCCAGGTTCATATAGAAGTAGTGGTGAATGGATAGCTATATTTATATATAATACCCAACCACTGTACAGCTAGACCAATGTAAGGTCACGACCTAAATGCATTAGTGAAGCTGGGAGTATTGAAGTTGATTAGTTGTGTGAACAGTGTCCTTTCACAGCTCTGCTGTGTTCGTGTCTTTCTTTACTGGAGCAAGTAACAGTTTTGTTAATGTTCAGGCGTTGTGAAGAACACTAAAGATTTTTTAAAACCTTTTTATCGTGTTAATTTGGAGCTACATGACAAGGGAGGGTCTAAATCACCATCGGCAGGCCTTCCATGCTGCTCTAAGGTATAGAACACTGCTAAGCTGTTACTCTTATTGGGAAGTTTATTTTATTTTAAAAGACAAAAATTAACCAATGCATGACAACTCCCTCTACCATGCTTAACATATGTCTGCTCTCTTTTTGGGACTTTCTTTTTAGTCATAATGGCAGAGTGAAGATGGTAAACTTGAATATCCTTGGAGGAATTTTGGAGGAGATCAATATCCATTCCACTCCGGTGGGTAAAATCTGGCTCACTATCCTTTTCATCTGCCGCATGCTGGTTATCGGAGTGGCGGCAGAAGATGTTTGGATTGATGAACAGGCTGAGTTCATCTGCAACACTCATCAGCCTGGATGCAGGAATGTGTGTTATGACCTTGCTTTTCCAATCTCCCCAATCCGTTACTGGGTACTGCAGGTCATCTCTGTGTCTTCCCCTTCCCTGGTTTACATGGGCCATGCTCTATATAGGCTGCGGGCCCTGGAGAAGGTCCGACAGAAGAGGAAAGCTCTGCTGTGGAGGGAGCTGGAGGCTGCTGATGTGGAGCCAGCAGTAGCCAGGAAGAGAATAGAGATGGATATGAAACCATTTTATCAGGAACAGCTTGATAAATCTCCCCTGAGGGGGTCTCTAATGCGTACTTATGTGGCTCACATCATCATACGCTCTGTTGTTGAAGTGGCTTTCATGACAGGTCAGTACCTGCTTTATGGTTTTCATCTCCTCACACTCTTTAAGTGTGAGCAGGATCCTTGTCCCAACACAGTAGACTGTTTTGTTTCCAGACCAACAGAAAAAAATGTCTACATGGTGTTCATGCAGAGCATTGCAGTTCTCTCTTTATTCCTAAGCATCATGGAGGTGATGCATTTAACCTGCATAAAGCTTGAAGTCTGTGCTCGAGTGAAACAAGACAAGGATGAACTGACTACGAATGAGAGCAGAAAAGAATCTGTTAAGCAAATAAGCAATAAATCCCTGAATGTATCACCTGCCCTAGGACCTTGTGACTGTGAGCTTAAAGGTGATGCAAATATGCTCAAAAACATGAAACCCTCAATTCGTATCACTTTTGATGATCAATGGGCAACTCAAGAGGAAATCAGCGATTATAGTTACTCTGCTCAAACTGTGTCTCAACAAACAACAAACCAAAATTACTGGGAATCAACTCGATGCTAAATTAAAATTAGAAGCCAAACAAGAAAAAACAAAAAGATGACAGCAGCCCAAGACGGAGGTTAAGGCTTCTAAACTGCCAAAAGGATTATAATCATCTTAACTTTCTTTGCATAAGGAGGTGAAGGAATCAGCTATCCAATGAAAAATATGTCTAACTACAACTCCTGCAGATTTCAGGTCAGCATCAGTGTTCTATAAATGACCTTTACTCTTCAAACTGAGGCATCAAGATGCAGCTGGAGCCCCGGCTTGCAGATACAAACTTTTTAGTTCAGCTGTGAATTGTTGACACACTATCAAATATCATTTAACAAACTGTATAAATGCATTTAGCCACATTTTGGGCAAGAAACAAACCAGGTGGGTATGAATTTATTGTGTTTTCAGTCTGTGCGTACAGCAAATGGTGGAAAAATGACACTGAACTACAAATAAATAAAGTTCACTGCAATGTATTAAGATCATAAAATATTGAAAAAGGAAAACCTAGTGTGTGTATATATATATATATATATATACTACTCAAAGAAAATAAAGGAAACCTTTGTAATCAGAGTATAGCATCAAGTTAATTAAACTTCTGGGATATTGATTTGGTCAGGAAAGTAGCAGAGGGGGTTGTTAATCAGTTTCAACTGCTTTGGTGTAAATGAAATTTTTTAACAGGTGCACTAGAGGGGCAGCAACGAGGCAGCCGTCAAAACAGGAATGGTTTTACAGGTGGAGTCATTGACATTTTTTCCCCTCCTCATCTTTTCTGACTTTTTTTCACCAGTTTTGCATTTGGCTAGGGTCACTACTACTATGTCACTACTGTTAGCACGAGGCGCTACCTGTACCCTACAGAGGTTGCACAGGCAGTCCAACTGCTCTAGGATGGCACATCAATACGTGCCATTGCCAGAAGGTTTGCTGTGTCTCCCAGCACAATCTCAAGAGCATGGAGGAGATTCCAGGAGAAAGGCAGTTACTCCAGGAGAGCTGGACAGGGCCGTAGAGGGTCTACAACCCATCAGCAGGACCGGTATCTGCTACTTTGTGCAAGGAGGAGCACTGCCAGAGCCCTACAAAATGACCTCCAGCAGGCCACTGGTGTGAATGTCTCTGACCAAACAATCAGAAACAGACTTCAGGAGGTTGGCCTGACGTCCTCTAGTGGGCCCTGTGCTCACCGCCCGGCACCGTGGAGCTCGATTGGCATTTGCCACAGAACACCGGAATTGGCAAGTCCGCCACTGGCGCCCTGTTCTTTTCACAGATGAGAACAGGTTCACCCTGAGCAAATGTGACAAACATGAAAGGGTCTGGAGAAGCCGTGGAGAATGTTATGCTGCCTGTAACATTGTTCAGCATGACAGGTTTGGTGGTGGGTCAGTGGTGGTCTGTCTATCCATAGAAGGATGCATAAACCTATACAGGCTAGACAACGGCACCCTGACTGCTATTGGGTATCGGGATGAATTTCTTGCATCCATTGTCAGACCCTATGCTGGTGCAGTGGGTCCTGGGTTCCTCCTGGTGCACGACAATGCCTCATGTGGCAAGAGTATGCAGGCAGTTCCTGGAGGATGAAGCAACTGATACCATTGATTGGCCCCGACGCTCGCCATGTTGCACCTCAGACTGTCCATGCCCTGGTCCAGATCTGGGAGGAGATACCCCAAGACGCCATCCGTCGTCTCATTAGGAGCATGCCCCGACGGTGTAAGGTGTGCAAACACGCACGTGGGGGCCATAAAAATTAGTGAATACCATTCTGAGCTGCTGCAATAAAATTTCAGCAAAATGGACTAACCTGCTGCATCATTCTTTCAATGTAATTTTTGGGGTGTCTTTGAACCCTCTGTAAGTTGATCATTTTCATTTCCATCAAATGATGTGGTATCCTTTTGTTCCTAACACTTCACCCAGTCCATATCAGTTTAAATAAACAGCATGATTTTCTGCCCCATTGATATCTGATAAGTTCAAAGTGTTCCTTTAATTTTTTGAGCAGTGTGTATACACACACACACACACACTCTGACTGGTCATGTATTTTAATTAAGGTTAATAAAATCAAAGACATGTATAATTTCTTGCCCTTTCAAAAGCTTCATTCAATCTTTGCAGAAAAGATGGCGAAAGGTAAATATTTAAATCACTGCTTCACATATAAGGCCTATGGACAACCAGCTAATTTGTCCACTTCACCAACTCAAAAATGCTCAATGCATTAAAAACAAACAACTCTCTTGTTTTGATATGAACAAGAAAAACACATTTATGTACCTGCAGTTTAGAAAAAAAAGTTTAATGTTGGGGAAACAACATGATTTCCCATTTTAAGAAGAAACATTTTCCTTCAAGTAGATCATAAAAAAGTGCAGAATTCGAACCAAGTTACTTTACTAAAGAATAAACAGTCCAGAAAACTATATACAGACATATACAGAATAAGTTATATTATAAGAAAGAGACTTACAGATCAGCCACATAAAACAATTCAGCTTCACCTTTTACAGAGTTGTTCTATCTTTAAATCAACAGCAGCGTAAACAAATATGTTTATCAAAAAAACAAAAAACAACAGACTGGTTTGTTCTTGATGTCTAGTTGGCAGCGCCTCCATCCTTTGAAGCCGGCTCATATTTCTGGAGCTAGAAATGAATCCAAATAAAACACATTAGCTTTGATTTTGACAGCTCGTGCAGATGTGTGCATGAGAGTCATTATTAGAAAATAAACTTCCCTCTTAAAGAGACAGACATCCAAATAGCACAAAGTCAACATCATGTAAACAACCCTGAAACTCCATCTTTATGTTAACTGGTGCATTACAAGGGGGAAGTTCTGAGTTTATTCTTCTTGACCGCAGCATTGTTAATGTCATGATCCATTTTCATTCACTTTTTAGTTCATGTTTTAAAAACAAGAAAATAAACTAAAAGCAATTTTTGATGGACAAAGAAAAATATTATCTGCACATAAATGCAAAGTATGGATGAAATGTATTATCTCATGTAAAATGTATAAGAATACAGTGCTCTCTTGTGGACTGTTCTGGTATTAAAAAAAAAATACTGCTCAGACACACAAACAGAAGCTCAGATCATTTTCTGAATGTTATTTAAATAAAGTAAAATGAAGACCTTAGCTTTGAGGTCTTCGTTTTCGTCCTCCAAACGTGCACATCTCTGTCTGAGGTCGTTCACTTCCTGCTGCAGAGCCTCAGTGTCTGTTGACATCAGGCTAACAGCTCCAAGCTGCTGCTTTACAAATCTGAATGCAGCTGGTTAAAGAATGGGCAGTAAGAAAGTTCTCAGCAACTTTAGAAAACACGCTGGAGTAATAAATTAAACATGCTGGAGCAAGGTCAGAGGTGTATATAAGAAGGATACTCAAGAGCGTTGGCAGGCTTGTCTTGTTGCTCATACAGAGTCACGAGAACTAAAAAAAAAAAAAAAAGTAGAAAAAGAGGTTAGTTTGTGACCAATACATACAGAGAGGACTGCAGGAATCAAATCTTTACATTAGTAACGATCAAGGATTTTAAAATTACAAACTGCAAAAAAAACAAAAAACACTTTCACTGTAAATTTATTACTTTCTATTTAGGTGAAAGACTAAGAAAAAATTTGCTTGCTGAAATCCAGTATTTAGGAGCTTTGGCAAATATTACCCCATACCCTCTGCCAGACATGCAACAAAAAAAACTATTAATGACAGCAGAGGAAAGACGCAACAAATCAACCATTGGAAACTTTAGCTTTCCTTTTTTATCTTAAAGGAATAAATAAATTTTATCTAATGGTTGTAATAGCAAATCTGATTTAAGAGATTTTTTAACAACTTAGACTACTTTATTGTCATTTTGTACACACAGTATATGCAAAATGAAATTTGGTTTATACAGCTTTCAGACAGGGAATGAGCAGCAGCTTAGCAGTGAAAAGGAACATTTGCATTTCATAAAGTGCAGCAGTTATCAAATAAATAAGGAAACTTAAAAAAATGGAATACATAAAAACAACAAAATAATTCCTATTACCAGATGATAACTCAATGCTTGAAACGAAGGGCCAGTTATAAGTACCATTGTATACCAACATTTTATACATTAAGCTGTTAAAAGTGTCTATATTTTCTGTCACACAGTTTATGAGATGTAAAGAAGGTAAAATAAATGTTGGAGCGTCCTGACTTTTATCCAGGTTTAAGGATCAGCTGGCTGAGGGAGGGCTACAACACATCAGCCAAAAAACTAACAAAAAAAACAAAAAGCTTGAAATGCTTTTAGTAACAAAAGGATAAAGTTTTAAACCCCCTAATCAAAACAGGTTTCAAAACTGCATTTGGTTGACAATAAGCAGCCGACTGTTCTGTAAAAGCAGTCGTTCCATGTAATCACTGTTGTACCTGTGTTACTGTAAAAAAGAGCAAAATAGGGAAAAAAGGGGGGAATCTAATCAGTAATCTCAAAAAAATTAAAAACAATCCACTGGACTTGGTTTCCGAGTTTCAAGACGTTTTGCTTCCCATCCAGGAAGCTTTTTCAATTCAAAATGTCAAGGAATAGCTTTGAGTTTTGGGTTTTATACAGTAGCCCAACAAGGCTTGTTTTTTCTTTTAATAACATGCAAATTGGAACAGACGAAGGGGTCCACCCCTTTGGAATGGCTTCTGTTGTTAGACTGCAATACCCAGTATCTGTCTAAGTGTCTGAAAGGCAGTTGTGTCAAAAGTACACACATTTGATACTAAAGTAGAAGTATAGATACTGCAGTTTAAAAACACTCTGGTAAAAGTTGAAGTATCAACTTGACCTCTTTACTAAAGGAAAAGTGAAACAGTATGTCCTCCAAAAACTACTTAAAGTATAAAGTAACCTTTAAAAAAAACAGCCAGATGCCACTGTATGAATTGAAAGCTCGATTTTTTGACTAATTTGAAAAATTCTTTGAGATAGGGCCAAGGATGAGGGAGGTCTTGTTGGTCTCCATCTCCCGATACGCTCTCGCCTGTGTCCGACCTTTCAGAAGTTTCGACATTTTTTTCTGGATCCGACATTGTAACATGGCATAGATAATTCACGTTTGCAGTTTGAAGAACACCTGCTTGATTCTGATGATTTCCTTTAGAAAACCAATGAGTTATATGACTCATCTAATTACACTAGTTTTCACTAGATGTGGATGGGGCCAATGATCTGCATTGGATGGCGCACATGACATGAAATAAATATGTATAAGCATTAAACAGAAGCCAAGAGTAACGAGTAACGTTTGTTTTTAAAATGTAAGGAATAGAAAGTACAGATACTTTTGTGATAATGTAATGAGTAGAAGTCTGAAGTAGGAAGAAAAATAAGTAATGGAGTAAAGTATAGATACCTAAAGAGTGTACTTAAGTACAGTAACAAAGTATTTGTACTTAATTACTCGACACCTCTGCTGAAGGGTCGGTCATTTTTAATTGCTTGAATACTTTATTTTTATTTAGTTTCACAAACAATCTGCTAAAAATATTTTAAAAGCAGTAGGAATTACATACTTTTCTGGTTTAATTAGGAAAATTATATTTTTGCTATGTTATTCACTGTGAAACACCTAAATTGTACAGAAAGACTGCTCTGGTTTGAATGAATATCTGTAAACACACCTGATTCCAATAATTGGGTTAATTGGGTGAAGTCAACCCCTCCTGAAGGGAGCTGTGGCGTGTTAAAAACTCAATTTCTCTTTGTAAGTTTGTAACAAGATTTACTGAAGTCAAATGTGTTGAATTTAAAAATAAAATGGCAAGTATGTATTTGCATCAAGCAAAAAAAAAAAAAAAAGATTTTGGATGAAGTGAATGAACATTTTGCAATAATAAAAAGACTGCAGAAGGAAATATAAAAACCTTAACTTCAGAAACGTCAGGTTTTATAGAACTAATAATAAAAATAAAGCTTCCTACCACTGGTGAGACTGTCAGTGACTCCAGTTTTCTCTAAATATCTTCTGAAACTCTCTCTCTTGGGGTCAGAAGCCTGAGGGAAGAAAACATTTACAATAATTAAACTTTTTAAACCACAGTTCAACTTTCTGCAATCGTTTCTTTAGATGCAGTAACCTTATGTATTTTATTTACCCATAGCTCTTAATAGCATTCTGTCAATTTTAAATTAGTATTTGGGAATATAATTATTTTATCATGATTTCAATGGAGCCTCATTGCGTGCTAACGTCTGTGCTAGCTTTTATAACTTTTAACTGTGCTTTTATAACATCAACGAATAAAAAGGAATATCAAAGACACTTACTCTATATTGCGCCATTGTGATCTCGGCTATAAAGCTCACTGTTAATCTTTTATATCTGCTGTAATGCTTAATATTAGAGCGAATGAAAATGAGGTAAAGTAGCAGCGGGTCGGTAAAGTTAACTTTCGTTTTATGGGTTCATCTGGAGATAGGGCTGAGCTCAACTCAATGATGCCTTCCCGTGTCTCACGTAAATATCGGAACATTGCCGACATAATGCCAATTTGTCGAGAATAAAAATCTTCTTCAGTTATTTAAACGCAAGAAACCAAGTACATATAATTATATAAGTATTTTAACGTTGCATTAAGATTCCATACAGTTTCAGAGCATGTTTTTAAAGTTAAAACCAGAAAACCTTAATAAAATGTTCACACAAAATGTATTTTTATTAATGGGGTAAATAATCTCAACAATAATAATTGAAATAGTTAAAATGAATTAAGCGTGTATTATTTTCTTTCTAATTTTAAACTATATATAAACTGGATTAAATGAGAAGTATACTGATTCTAATATTTCCTACATGTTAGATAGACAACTAAACTGTTGGATTTACTGTTGTGTGTGATTGTCGCCATCTGTTGGTAAGCGCGTTAACAACCTCCAATAAATATTTACTTTTTCTGGCTAAAAAAATTAAAACAACGGAGCCTCACGCGGCTCTGTTTGAAAAACAAAGTGTGTTTCAAATAGTTTATCGCCGAAAAAACAACTATACCATGTGGATATACCGTTTAGTTCACAAAACAAGTCTGATCACTAGTCAGGTGACAGTGAGAAACCTCAAAAGACTGACAGGAACTCTAGCCAATTGAAACTTGAGATTTATTCCATGTAGCCAATCAGAATCAAGGGGCGGGAGGATAAGCTTTTTTTCAGCTGAGAGGAAATCCTTAGGAAATGTGAGGCATCATCATGCAGTGTGATTTCAAGAGGCTAATACGGTATTGACAAACTGTTTTAGTAACGAGGCAATTTTATTGTGTTTGGTAACAAACATAGTTGGGATTGGATACATTAAGAGCGGGACATAGAGCGTAAGCGGCCTTTGTTAGGTCAAAATGTCGATTCAGTACGAGGTGGAACAGCTGGCTGACAGCTACGGGGTTTCGGACTCGTTTCCCAAAGATTTCGGTTACGGTGAAGAGGAGCCCGACATCGAGGACAGCTCGGCCCCGTCGGACAGCAAACCAAGGATCCTGCTCATGGGTCTACGGCGAAGCGGTAAATCATCCATACAGAAGGTGGGGAGATATCTATGTTTTTAAAGTGTTAGCATTGCGAGGCTAGGGGCCGCTTTCATCTACTCCTCTCAGTTAAAATAGCTAGCAACTTTGTTTAGCATGATGCTAATGATAATTGTTATCAATCAACGTGTGCAGCTGCAAGGACTGTTATAACAAGCTGATAAGCAGTAAGCTGCGCTGGTAATTATTAACCAAGTGGACAGAGACGGTTGATAATATGGGGGAAAAACATAATGTGATATGGCAAGGACACAGTAGCAAACTGACCACACCTTACCTTTAGTTTTTAATAAGTGCATCAAGATTAGAAGTTTGCAGACAGGAGGTGAAAAAACTTTCCTTTCAGTATAATTCGCACCCAGTGACCAGTTTTACTTTCGTCATAATATAACCACGAACTAC